CATGCTCTGGTTCTTCAGCTGTGCAGCTGACATTCAGTCGTTTTGACTAGCAGCTGCATCGTTCTGTGATCAGCCTACTGAAAGTTGCCATTCATTTCATCTCTTGAATGAGTTAGCAGCTTAATGCTTTTACAACAAAGGCATCTATCAAGACTGCAGTCGTTTTGAGATGCCATTGATGTACTGAACATTATCTTCCGAGACCACGATAAGGCGTCTTATTGTCTAAGGTCTTTATATTCTCTTGAATTTGCAGTGGTAGTCTTGCGCTACTTACTTTATTGCATAAACATTTCTATGAACTCTTCTTTTTTAATGGGCTTATCAGATACGCATATATTCCTCAATGACGCCAATTTGCAGAATTTGTTGAAACGTACGATAAAAGAAAAAATCATGATAACATCGAAGAAGTTTGCAAAGCCCAATGATATCGCTCAGGTTGTTCGTTTCTTCAATAATTTACTCACTGGCTTGACAGTGTACGGCTTCGATGATAAAATGATCAATTTGAAGGACGATGATGTGGCTATCAATTGGGCTATGGCGCTGATCATTGACACTTATGTGGTAATTCTCTTACTCAGGGCTTTATTGAACTTTTTCTAAATTCGTTTACTACGTGTTCTGCCTATTTTCGTACAGTTTATTCTTTGATCGAACCATTTGTCGGTTCATTTATGCAATTTACTATTCGCTGTCGAACGAAATATTCGGAAATTCGATTCGTCCAATGAGACAACCACTCTCTGTACGCTTTGTTCATTCATTTTAGTGTTAAATTGGTGCGTGCCAGGGCATCAAAACCGTCACCATCATGTTTATGAACAACTCTCAGAAGGGAGGTGCATGCGAAGTCTGCTTTCATTTTTGATACACGTACAACTGTTAGCATTAGTGAACTCCTAAACGAATTTTAATTGACAAAGCGTTCAGCAGAGAGTTATAACAATTATCGGGTTAGGCCGCGATTGATTTCCGATGTTCGTGCTCTGTAGTGTATCACTGGTATGTGAGAAATGACATACTTTAGTTATTTTCTCTGTTTTTAGGATCTAATTGCACTAGATATCGGTCTTCTGAACATGATT